GGTTATTAACTAAGACTCAGAGTCTAATAGTTTCTAATTAACTGTATTGTCTAGTAATAGTAGGAGTAAAATAAAAAAAAAAAAGGGGGGCAAATCACATTAAAAACAAAACAAAAACAATAAAACCTAACACTTTTGATTAGTAGATCTATTATCATCAGTTAAAGTATAGTTGTTAAGATCCAGACTTTTATATAAAACTTTTTTTTATTAGGTTTCTCATCAAGTTGTGATTGGGATACGGCTGATTTTGATAAAGCCTACTCCATTCAAGAGCTGCCTGTTCAGTCAGCTATCTGTGTTCCATCAGATGGTGCTACTGTTTCAACTGTTAGTGGAGCTGTTAAGGCTAAAGGGTATGCATGGAGTGGAGGAGGTAGGAAGATCATTCGTGTTGATGTGTCTATTGACCAAGGTAAAACCTGGATCAATGCTAAGCTGAATCAAGATGACTCTTCCATTTACCGATCATGGGCCTGGACCTTGTGGGAGGTACTTAGTATTTCTTTATTTAGTAATATGTATATAAAGATTCTTGTTTTGTTTTACTAGGTCTCTAAAATTAGCTTAAAATTTGAATATATGAAATGTATTGAAAAAATGTTCAATTTTATATTTGCTCTGTTTCTAACATAATTTTAATATCTAAGTGCAATAAAGGTTCTGTGTTAGATAAATTATTATATCATTCAAGATTTTATGTTTAGATTTGTTCATTTCTGTTTTCAGTAAAATTGCATGTGTTCTCACACATCTCAGCAGTTTTAACATTTTTACCATTCATTTCTCAGTTATTATTTTTTAGTCTTTGAATTAGCTGCCAGTACGTATTACAATGTTCACACTTTTATCTACGGTCTATACTCTGTGTGTATGCAGAATGTTTAATCTCACATTTTTATGTTGTTGATCATAAGAGAACTTCATTAAGATTACAAATTTTGTATATATGTGTTTATTTGTTAAAAAATATACAAGATAGCTATGCATGATAAAAAAAAAATTAAAATTGACAATTCTCTTTATTTTATTTGATTCTGTATTAAAAGTATGCTTGTTTTGTTTCTGTATTAAAAGTATGCTTGTTTTGTGTCTGTATTAAAAGTGTGTTTTTGCACCATGCTATGACTGCTGTTCAGTTTTTTTTTACAGAATGTCTATTAACCAAGATAATGCTTGGATGAAGGTCCAACTCCATCAGGATGATTCTCCTTGTACCAATCTTGATTTTTATTTACAATTATATCTGTTTCACATTATCTATAAGGGTCAAATTCCTTTTTTTATTTTGTATGTGTGTATGTGTGTTCAAGTTTTTTTTTTTTTTCTCAAGTAGTTGTTTTCATATTATAGGCTGATATTCCACTTCCTGAGAACACTAAACCTGGGACACAAGTTGAGGTTATATGTAAGGCTGTGGATTCATCTTACAATGTTCAACCAGAAACGTTTGAACCACTCTGGAACATACGAGGAGTTTTAGCGACAGCATGGCACAGAGTCACTGTTACGATTGAGTGAAAAGTATAAGCTACAAGTGAAGTTCTTTTATCTGTTTAGCTAAAGCTTTAATTCTAACATGTTTGTCACAAGAGGGTACTATATCATATCAAAGTGCAATGTATGTAAAACTAACCATTATTTTAGGCTGTGGTGTAGATACTTGAAGTCCCTGATATAATGTCAAGAAACATTTACTGCCTTATTTGAAATTAAGAAGTTAGTTATAACCCTACACCCTGTTTTTAATTAGATAAAGCTTATATAATTGTAATATGAGGTAATTCAAAAGCAGTAACCACATAAAAATTGTACTTGAATTTTTCTACTCTTTTTAGAGTCAAGGGAATGATTTATAAGACTGTTTTATCATCCACACTAAAAGAGAATTTACTTATTTGTTATTAATGCATATTTTATTAAGATATCTTCAAAATACTGAAACATGTGATTTTTACTTTTGTACATGCACATTATGTGAGTTTTTGCCTGAAGCATCTGTCCCAAAACAAAGACTGTAAATGAAAATGTAATACAAAGTATTATATACCACAGCATTTGAAAATCAACATTTCTAAAGTACAAATTGATTTGTTTTTTAAATTTCCTCACTAATGTTAAATTAAAAGTGTTTATTTGAAAGGTAGTGAAATGCAGTGAGCCAGAATTTCTTTTCATTCATTAGTTCTGTCAGAAACTTGTAGTTGGCTATTGCCAATTAAATTTAATTTGGAACTCCTCCAGAACATTGTTTTTTACTTTTTAAGTAAACTTAAGGTTTCTGTTCATTGATGCATACAGTTCAACGTATACTATTTATGTTTCACCTTACTCTGTTTCTGGCATGCATTTCAAATATATTTGAGTTTTAAACTAGTTATAGTAAAATAAAAAGTACAAAAAGAGACAAAGTGATTATTTTATGTAGTTGAGTTCCTGTATTGATATTGAATGAATAGTCATAGTAAAATGCTGAAAATGGTGTTTCTTGTGGAGATTAATGTGTATGGAGATCCACATAACAAACACTATCTATACGATAATTGTGTATATGTTGTCATTCCACAGCTATGTATTTAACAAGCTCCCCAGTAGCACAGTGGTATGTCTGGATAATGCTAGAAACAGGGTTTCGATACCTGTGGTGAGCAGAGCACAGATAGCCCTTTGTGTAGCTTTGTGCATAATTCCAAACAAACAAACCATTTAACATAACTAGAATTATTAAAATAATTTCTTGTAATGAGGAATATCTATAAAAATATTGTCAATTAATACTTACCTCTTGTATATTTTTGTATATTTAATATTGTGAATGTGTTATCAGCAGTAAAAACTTTTTGATCTTGTTAGATAAATTTTATAATACAGTTAGAAAATCAAGTATCTCAGATGTCAGGTCAGAGATTGACTAGTATTAATTGTCAATGTTCAACCCTTTTACCAAGCCTAGATTGCTTTGTTTTTAAGATGAAATACCATAACATATATACTACTACTTTTATTTTGAATTTCTCAGCCCTGCTTATTTATGAGGGTAAAATAATATTCTCAACAGGATATACAAAATGTGGTGTTCATTTTTGTATGCTTAAGCACTCTATTATTATTACATATTATTGTATTTAGCTGTTTTTGTAGGGGGGGGGTCTAACCTCCCAAAAAAGAGCATGGAATGATAAAGTACACCAAAAGCAAATTACTGTAATTTTGAAAAATATGCTCTTGTATATCATTAGACACTATAACTATGGTACATTAATGTTTTTCAGGACATAGATGACAGGACATATGATAAACTTGCTTCTACTAGAGCGGTTTTTATAAGTAGAGTATTAAATATAGTTTTGAAAGTTAATATCTGTTGTACATTATTTAAATCAAATTGTATTTGATGTATAAAATGAGATTATAAAAAAAATTTTTTTGTAAGAAGTAAAAACCTGTATTTTCATTCTCACAATTGCAATGAAGATTCTGTATTGTATGTTGAAAGTTTGCTGTTGCTCATTTTGTTAAAAGTTTATAAAATTGACTCACTTTAAGAAATTAAAATATTCTCATAAAAGGGTTTTCTAGATAAAGCCAAGATGGCTAAAATCATGTTTGCAGTAATGTTTTTGAAAAATGTTATATATAATACCACTAAGTGCAATAATGAACTTAGTAACAAACTAAATTTGAAATTGATATAGAAGTGTATAGGTGAAAGTTGAGAAACTATTTGGTTATGAAAAATGCATGAATGAGATTATTATTTATATTCTTTGAACTAATGGTGTTGTAAAAGGTATTTTATTACACTTCTAAATTGTATTTTGCTCAAAAAATATTTAATAGGAAAGAAAGTGGTTGTGATTTTATTTCATAAAGGAATCGTATTGCTAAGCTCAATTTTTCTTATGAGCTTGTTTACCAATAGTTCAAACTTTTCAGAAGGTTTGCATTGTTCTTTTTACTCTTATTAATATGCTTGAAGTGAAATTATGAACACCTGTCCTAAGTGTGTGTAAAGAATTATCAGAGTTAAATCTCTTGAACTAGGCACATCATACATTTTGTAGTTACTGTAAGATTTTGGTACCTTGTCTAAGCCTTACTGAACAGTATGACTCAATTACATCAAATGAAACTACATGTGAAATATAAGTGTTTAAATGTGTATTTTATTTCTTTGTGTAAGTCAACAAAATAAAGTTTTGATAATGTTATTGTTTGTTTGTTTAATAGAAATTTCAGATAATTCAGCCAAAAATAAAAAGCATTTCACAAAAAAAAAATAGACAAATAAGACATATTGACTTAGAAGCTGTTAGGTAAGGCTGGAAAATATGGTTAGAAAGTGAGTTTCATACCGACCAAGTTCTCTTTATAGGGTTTTGTGTATTTAACACGTTTGAGCATTATGTTAAAAGCTGTACTTGAGATTCATCAGAACGAGGTCAAAGCATGTGTGGTAGGGTTTTGGTGCTTCTCAGTCAATAAGCAGGGGTGGTTCCAGCACTTTAATGTCCCTGTATGTAAGTGTGTGTGTGTGTATGCAGTATGAATTAATGAAATAATTGATGTGGAGTAGTGCAAGAAGTGATGGAAATGGATGGCCAGGAGACTTAAATTGGTGTTAAAAAAAATAGTGTCCTTCTTAAAATAGAACAAGACATGCCCGTTGGTCTTTAAAAAGGCAAAGTAAACAAAATAAATATTTACATTAAACCAGGAGGAAAATTACAAGCTGTCATGAGGCTCGTCATTGGACCTAAAGTCGTTTTTTTTTTAAGAGAACTTGGAACTAGTATCACTGGTGTTCATAAACCCCTGACGTTTACACATGTTTGTAGAGGACAAACCACAAGAGCAACACAAACACCTTCCTATTTCAAATTTAAAATGTGCTCAAATGATGACATTTACACTACTTTCTGGGATAGAGTCCAAACTACCGACAGTTCATTCTTGTCCATTTTCCAACCATAGTCCACAGATGATGATGCTGCAATTTTTGGATGCAGATTTCACCAACAGGTTTCTGCATCAAAACTGGAGTGTTTGGGGAGCTGTAGTAATTCATCTCGTGTAAAAAGCATACTCTGCACAGATAGTGATGATGAGGGCTGACGATACAGGTGACAAGAGAATATAACAATAGATATTGTCTCGGAAAATTCTTGTTCAAGCTTTATAGATGTTTTGGTAAATTATTAATTTTTGTTCGCCAAAGTGAAAACCATTCTCTCTTTGCGTAAAGTACTCGTGGAATCACAGTAAGTGAAGACATGATGTACGATAATCACTGGAAGCTAGTGCAGATCTAATTTATGAAAGGTCAATGATACTAGCTTTCTACATTTTTCATGCCATTAGCCATGTGTTTGTGTATATATAC